CCCTCCTCCTTCGTTCTCCCTTTGAGAACCCAGTCAGCTCTGCACAACCCAGAATGGGGCTCGGCTTCCCCCTGCTGTGGTGGTTATTGAATAGTCTAGTTTCACCACTTTAACGCCCAGCTTCACTTATCTTTGACAACATGAGCATACGCGCACACTCAGTCCTCCTAAGGACAGGCACCACTTCTCAGGGACAGAGAATTTCCTCCGGGGAATTCAGCGAAGGTCGTGTACAGGACTCTTTCCTTATAGGGGTAAGAGTTGGGACTCTGCTCCCAAATCTGCCGCCACTGGGAGTTTCTCCCTCTACTGCCAAACTGGGAGCAACTGGGTTAGTGTGGCTAAGGGAGCAGGCAGTTTTCCTAATACACAAACCTTCCTAAAGAATCTGTATTCAGGAAGGCTTATATCCTTCTATGCTCTTTTCTCCAAATCTCAGAAATGAGGAGGACCAAGATGCTACGGTGCTGGCATAGCTAGAGGTGAAGACAAGGAGGGTAATGAGGTTTCTGTTTGGAGACTCCCGGGGAGGCAGCAGGTCAGGGGACCAGGCCGATGGTCAGAGGTGGAGCGGGCATTGGGTGTGAAGGCAGCCGGGCACGCAGGACTCAGGAACATGGAGACATTCAACCACGCCAAAGGAAAAGGAAAATCTCTAGTTACTAGAAACAAACTGGAGGGACTGGTACGCAGGCAGGCTGATGCTGGGCAGCTGGGGGTGGGTGGGCCTGACTTGAATTAGTCTTCAATACTAAGGTCTATAGTCATGGTGGCATAAAAGAACAGAAAATGAGGTGTGGGAGGGCAGGTAGGGGAGGACTGAGATCCCATAAAAAAGATCGCATCTCTAGAAACTAGGTTGGTCTCGGGGATGCCACACAGAGAGTACCAGGAACAAGAGAGGAGCCAAACACATACACACACACACACACACACACACACACACACACACACACTAAGCTAAGCTAAGCTAAGCTAAGCTAAGCTAAGCTAAGCTAAGCTAAACTAAGCTAAGCAGACACCAGGCCCCAGCCCCGCTGCCCAGGCATCAGATCACCACTTAGATCCAGCGGGAAAGCTGGAGGGCTGGGCAGTGAGACTGGGTCAAAACCACACTTTGACTCACCGCAGCTGGCTCACTGGCTGTGTGATGAGTGGCCCACAACCTTCCCGGCGAACTCCAGCGCACTTCCCACCCATGAGATGCCACTGCTTCCCCAGGTTTCCCACCCAGAAACTGCTCTATTTCTAAGGAGGCCCAGGTGGAATGGTCTAAAGCTATTCAGGTGACCCTACATTTTCTTAAAGCCTCAGGTTTTCCTTTTCGGTTGCATGGGACATTTTCCTTACTACTTACTACCTTTTCCTTACTTTTCCAAAATAAACTAAGTCAGTGACAAGTTTTCCAGTGGCTGAGAACCACAGCTCCCTGTCTCCTACACCCAGTTCCACGTGCTCTGATCTGAGCAACACAGATTGGATAAGGCTTCAGGACAGCATGGTGACATTGGTTGGTTAAAGCAGGGCAGAGAGGTCAGACCAGAAACCAGGAAGCTGGAAGGGAGCCCCTGGTAACAAGAGGTAAGACCAGGCAGAATGAGAGTCACGCGGTTTGCAAATGGGTTGGTAAAAGTGTGCCCAGAGAGGCGATGACGGGCTAGGGGGAGAAAAGCTGTCAATCCATAAACCCAAATCTGAGTAATCTTATCCTATGAATTTATTTATACCCTCTTGAACCCCCGGAAATGTTTTAAAATTCTACCCCTAAATTCTTTCTATTTAGATACCATGTACTCATAGCAACCAAGACATGAAAAACTTCATCTAATAACTGTATACAATATATTCTTATGCACTGCACACACATTTTATTGAATAAATAAAAACTTTATTTGCATATTTACCAAAAAAATATCCTTAGTTTGATCATTTAAAAAATACAAACTCATGTAACCAAAATACTTAAAGGATTCAGTTAACTAAGTGTTGACTATTTTTACCTAAAAATATGAAGATCTAATCCATCAAAACTGGTTTTGCAGCTAGACATATTTGAAATGTTTATAGATTTCCATGAAGGTTGACTTTTCATATTATGGGATCTACTACAACATCTAGATCAGTTATTCAGAGACAAAAATATTTTGCCACCTAAGCTAGAACTTTATACAAGAAATTCCTGGGGTGTTTACCCACTTTGAAAATTTTATTGAGTACTTTTTATTTTTCAAAATCAAGTAGGACAAGTAAATAACAACAGTACCTCGAGGACTTTTATAAATAGCAAAGCTATACTATTCAGATCTATAAGCAAAGGGTATTTGCATTTCCCTGAGAGCATAGTTTGCTTTGGGTTCAAGATCAATGTGTGTGCATGTCTGTGCATGTGTGTGTGTGTGTGTGTGTGTGTGTGTGTGAGAGAGAGAGAGAGAGAGAGAGAGAGAGAGAGATGACATCATTGACATCAGAACCTGATGAAAGCTAAGAGAACATTTACCTGCTGATGTTCAGGTGAGCTTAGCTCCACGCCCATGTAAACCAGCCTTGTCAACTGTGGTCCCTTAACCTTCACTACAGGCTCCACCCCAAGCCTCTGGAGCCCCTTCTCTCTAGATCCAGTTAAGGTGGGGACCCAGCCAAGCAGCTCAGAGGCCCTAGAGTACATGGGTGTGACTGCTAGTGCTGCTCTAACTTGTGCCTTGTTTCTAAGAAGTGGGTTCCTTCCTGGAACCCCCTTGGATGGAACCCTTTTCCTTATTTGCCCCTTACACTTATTGAGCATGGAATTGTGCTCACAAACTCCAGGGATCCTGATATCATTTTCTAGATGTGTCAATTCTTAGACATGACCTCCTCCTCCTTCTACCTCATCCTCTTCCTCCCATCCCAGGGTGGTCTGTCCCCACACAGGACCTGTCTCAAGATCCAGTCTGCTGTGACAGGATGTCCCAAATGCCTGGCTCAAGTCCCAGGGCCCTTTGGTTCTGACTCTCCCGGAACCAATGTGCCTTGTGCCCCTGCTGGTGAGTTAAGAAAACTCACCCAGTTGGCACACACTGGATGTGCTATATCCCTGGCTAGTGCCTAGAAGTTTATACCTATCAAGTGTCCCCAGAATGATTTGAACTTTTCCCCCCTAAAAGCTACAGACTGGCAGCTTCAAGCACAGAACTCTGGATCATCTTACTAGGTATGCCTGCCCACTAACCCATGCCATTACCAAGAATCCCTGTCTCTTGAGAGCCAGGGACGTGAGATTTTTACCCCAAGTCACCTGCATGTCTGATGATATAAACATTATATAGAATTCATTATCTTCATTTAGGTGTTCTGAACTTGTCCCAAAACTCGGGGCCCGCATTTAGAACCAGGTTTATAACACAGAGATTCTAAATTTTCACTTTCCTAGCATCGGGCTGGCCCACTGACTCTCCAAATTTGCTGCCTTCTCTTTCTGAAGGGTGTCCAACTAGAAAAGGAGTGTTCTCCTTTCCGGGGGCGGGGGGCTCTTCATGTGTGGCTGTGATGGTGTCATTGGATATCCACTTTGGAAGTTCTTCCCCGAAACCATTTTTGGACTATGACTGATTTCTCCTGTAGCTCACAGATAGTCTTGGAAAATGATCTCAGAGAAAGACATGTAAGCAGTGGCCACATCATTAAGCCAAGCACACAGCTCTCCAGAGAGACCAATTGGAAGGACAATAAGGACCTGGACGCAGCCTCATAACTTTACATACATCTAAGTTTTTGCTGACTTGATGAAAAGGAAAATTATGATATTGACATGTGGCCTATTTACCTGTTTATTGAGTGTCTCTGTGGTGGGGATTCGTCTCATTCATTGGTGTCCCCAAGGCGTGACAAACAGAAAGAACAGCTTAAATGTTTGTTCGATTAAACTAAAGTGAAAGCTTTCTCAAGGTTATTAGCACTGATGAGCAAGTGATATGGGTGTTGTTCTAAACGTCCACAGGTGTGTTCACCTTTCCCCGTCTCACTTCCACAGTGGGGAGCTGCACGGTCACACATGAGTGTAAGTGCGGAACTTTTCACACACCAACATGCACTTACATTTGTCCTCAACCTGAACAAGAATAAATCTCACTTGTAATTTTTCAAGTCTTTTTTATCTGCTTTGAATTGTAGCTTCTTCTAACCATAACTTTTCTATGAAAATTAAGTCCCCTATCAACTTCCAAACTGCCGAGAAGCACAGGCACGATATGCCACATCTGACACAAAATGAAACTCTATAAAGAGATTTTAAATCATATGATGAAAATAAAGCACATTGGGTAATACAGTTACTATGTTGTTGCCATCGTTGTTGCTGTTAAATACAGCATCTGAAACAGGATCTCTTAATCTGCCCCCCAACCTGGGGATTAGAATGAATTTCCAGTGAGCTCATTTGAAAGCCCTAGCGCTTAGAATGAAGGGCAGACTCTGTTGTTTGAGGCAAAATTGTGCAAAACTGATCCAAAATTCGAATAGAAAGGCTTAAAATGACCCTGAAAACTAAGGTTCCGGGAAGGGGGGGGGTCTCAGGGACATGGACCCAAATCACTGCCTTAGCAGTGGGATGTGCGCCATTGAGAAGAGCTGGTCAGTCCTGCAGTGGCCCGCAGCCCGTGGGGGTGTTACATCTTCTGAAGACAGTGCCCGAGTCTCTGGGAGCCCTTTTCTCCACAGCAACACAACAGTTAGACATAAAGAGGCCAGGACACTGGACTGTGCAGAAGGCGCATCTGCCTGGCAATGACAGTCCCGGTCCCAGTCCCAGATGGGCTTCCTGTGATCATCGAAAACTAGAGGCTTTTGGTGGAGAACTGAACACAGGTTTTTTCATTCTTTGTTTTGGGGATTGTTTTTTTTAATTTCTTTCAAAGCAAACAGGCCTTCCCCGACCTGAAACGAACTATGAGATACTCTTGACAAGGAACCCGAGGCTCCCACACCAAGGATTCCAGATGGTTTAAATACAAAGGGGGGAGGGAGAAGAGAGAGAAACACTTTTATTTCCCTGCCTTGTTTAGTGAATCCCTTAGCAAATGTGTCAAAACAAAACACCAAACAAAGAGCCAGTTTTGGGAGGGGGGGTGCTTTTCTTTCTTGTTTTGTGCTCTGAGAGAGACAGTTTGTCAGAAAGGGCACCAGCTTGGAAGTTGAAATACCTGGGTATGGACTCCTGGCTTTGCTACTTGCGATCTGAGTGACCTGGGGCGAATCACTTGGCCTTTCTGAAACTCGGTTTCCTCCCCTGTGAGACAGGAATGACAACATCCAGCCGCTGGTCGTTATGCGGGGTAAGTGGACTGATGCACAGAAGTACTCGGCACAGAACCCAGCATGGGACAGGTGTGTCTCGAATGTTACTACTCTCCTGAGGTAGATCACGCAAACATTCCTGGCTGCTCTCAAGTGTCCCAAAGCTGTGACTTCCGAGGGGCCCCCCATGAGGTGCCAAAGGGATTCTCTGCTGTTTGGCCTAAAGCCCAAGCCCCGCCTGCTGTTCGCAGCGGGCAGGACAGGGGTGAGGGGTGCGGAGGGTCCCCGGGCCGCACTGCCGGCTCCCACAGTCACACCGACACTGCTCCCGGCACGATCCTCCGGATGTGGGTGTAAGATTTCCGGATGGTGACGCTACCGTGGTGCGACACCCCCCGGGGCAGGACGCACTCCTCCGTCAGTTTCTGGGCCTCCGGGTCCCAGCACAGCACCGTGGCGATGACCTCGTTCTTCTCGTCCCTCCCCCCGGTGATGTAGAGCCGGTTGTTGCAGGGCGCGATGCCGCAGCTGGCCCTCTCGTGGCTGAGCTGGGTCACCAGGCACCAGCTGTCCTCCAGGGGGCTGTAGGCGTACAGCGCTCTCATGGCCCCACCTGAAGATGAAGGGAAAAATGGTGGGAACCTTGCTATTTTTCTGGATTTCTTTTCCTTTAACCACTAAACCCCTGCTTCCAATTAAGTCAAATCTACCACCTTGCCAAGAGAAAGTAGATTTGTAGCTTTCAAAAAACCCTGAGTCAATCACTAGGGGCAGTAAGTGCTAGGGACACTTTAAATTCTGCAAACAGGTGCTAATCAGGCTCCAAGGGACACCTGGCTTCACCTGGCTGCCCAATGCGCCCCAGACTACTCCCCGGAGGAAACGCCACCTGGTCCGGACTCCACTCATAACTCCAGCTCTGCCACTTTTTGATATGTAACTATGAGCACATGATTATAAGACGTCAGAGGGACCATGAGCGTGGAGTAACTGGCAGAAGGCCTGGAACATAGAAGCCACCAATACGTGACAGTAGCCAGAGGCATTGGCCCCTCTTTGAACTGAGCATGACCTGGGACATCAGCCCAAGTTACTTGTCTGAGATCAGACCTTCAAGCAGAGTCATGAGCCTGCCCATAAACACAGAGGAAACCTGAAGCGAGGGAGAGAGGGTTTTTTTCTTAATCTGTTCTCGTATTTTATTTTTCTCATTAGCTCTTATTTGCTGAAGTTATTTATTTTTGGCATCTCCTTTGTCAGTAATTCCCAATTCTTGCTGCGCATCCAAGTCACCTGCACATTAAAAACACTGGCACTGTTGGCCAGCGTCCCCTTTCCTGTCCTAATTTCATCGGTCTGGAGTGAGGCCCGGCCACCCATACTTTTGCAATAAGCTCCCAAGATGATTCTGATGAGTCGTCAGGATTGAGATCCATCACCCCTAACAATCCCGTGCCAGCTATGGTCTGGCTGACCAGGCTTTCCTTCTGGCAAACTACAACTTTTCAGAGCCCCCAAAGCAAGCAGGGAGAGTACAATTCCCATGAACACAAAATAAGAAATCATGGTAGCTATTATTTGGGGGGCACTCATCATACTGGCCACATTTCAGTGTCTGCACATGTTCCTGCAGCAACGTCCAGTGCCTCCCCTGGGCCCCGGGGATGATCTGCTCTGTATGTCTCCCAAATGGGGGCCGTCTTCTGGCTCCTGGACTCAAGGGAAATCCCACCAAAGCCTGGACCCATCCCACCTTTGCTTCCTTTTCAACCAGGAACTTGTGAGTCCTCCGGGGGGCTTTGTGTGATCTACCCGTAGGGCTGCATGGGTGGGAGACCTCGGATAAATAAGAAGCCATTTGGTCACTTACCAACGACATAGATGCGGTCCCGGAAACTCACTGCATTGATGCATTTAGCCTCCACTGGCATGGACGCCTTTAAACTCCACTTATTGGTTGAAGGGTCATAACACTGAGTCTTGTCCGTGGCCAGTTTCCCATTGGGCCCTCCCCCAATCACATAGAGCTTTTTCTTATGGCTGGTGGCTGCGAAGGAACTGACGTGAACCAGGAGGGGTGCAGCCTGCAGAGACACAGGGCCCCAGAAGAAGCTGTCAGTCACATTGCCCAGATTGCTGCCATGGCTCACAGGACACAGGCCAGGAGCCAAGGGACACAAGCCTGGACATCCTTTGTCTGATGACGCGAGGCCTGCAGGCCTTGACTCCCCTTTAGACACAGAGAGGATCAAAGCACCCGTCTCCCACCCTCCCTCCTGACTGTGGGCAGGTGTTGGATGTTTCCAGCCTGTTTCTCCCAGAGTTCAGTTCTCAGGTGAGAAGGGGAATTGGCAAGTGTTTGTACAGATGAAACCAGCCAGGGTGGAGAAAAATGCCCTCTCCGATGTGCATGCTCACATTCATCCATGTGTTTATTCACTCAAAAATTATGTGCTGTGTGCCAGACGTTATTCTTGGTGCTTATAATATCCAGGAAGGAAAACTAGTAGAAGGGTTTCAGGTAGTCACAGGTAAGCAGATTGTCCCACTTTGGGGCAACATGCAGATTTGGGGATTAAGCCAGGCTTGTGCTTACACCCTGCTAACCCCAGGGCACTAAAGGAGACCTCTAAGAGCTTCTTGCCCATGGACATAACCCTCTTGGGCCGTGGAGCAACACACAAGTGCCAAGTAACAGGACTTGCCGAACCAAGAAGATCTTAGGTGCACCCCATTGAAATGTTAAGGGCTCCCCATTTGGCACTTTTCAGGTTGACAGGTCTTGGCTGGATGCCATGAGGACCTGGCTATCCTTGCTGTGCCTGCAATGACCACTCTACAGTGACCACTCTTCAAAATGGAACATGCTCTGACATATGAGTTCATAAGATGGAAGAAAGTATGCATATGGGAGTAACCTGGAAATGCCAGAAAGTGAGAGCACTTTACCTTTTTAAAAATAATTCTCATGGTAAGAACACTTTGTACAAAGTCTACCCTCTTAATAAATTTTTGAGTGTACAATACAGTATTGTTATCTCTAGGCAAAGTGTTGTACAGCAGGTCTCCAGAGCTCACCCATTTCTATGCCATTGATTAGCAATGCCTTACCTTTCCCTGAGTGTGATATATACATGAGTTTGCATTGTTAAACTCTTGCACGCAGCTATGTAAATGTTTATTCATTAATTAATGAATAAACAGAGGCTGTTTTCTAACCACTACCAAATGGCTCTGCATTGAAGAAACAGTGTATTAAAGGGACCCTTGTGAGTCCTGTGTGGAGAAGACAAGGGCAGATGGCATCTGAGGACCCAGAAGCTGTGGGCCAAGACATGCACCCAGGTTAGGACCAAGCCTCCCCTCCGCATCTGGGGTTCTGGCAGGAGTGGGAAGGGAGTCATTTCTGTGACCTGATCAGCAATGGCTCCCATGATGAGGGAAGCTCAGAGCCACCAAAAATGTCCTCACTGGGTGCCAAGTGATCAGAAAGCCACACACCTACATTGACGTGTACCCTTTCTTTAAGCTTTGAAGTAATAATACCAACAGAGTTACCCTACAAGTAATCTCCTATACCTCTGACCAGCAGTTGTGGAAGGGGTCGTAGGTCTCCACGTTGTTGATCCTCTGCAAGCCATCGAAACCTCCGATCACGTAGACCTTGCCACCCAACACCACCATCTTATGCCTCCAGCGGCCTATGTTCAAATACTCAATCTGAATCCATTTGTTGATTGAAGAATTATACTTCCAAACATCATGCTGTGTTTCTTTGCCACCTAGAAGAGATATGGACCATTTAAGAAACCACCAGATGTGTCAGAAATACAGCTTCTCCTATAATTTCCTACAGGTCCATAAATGCTAAATCTGACTTCCAGCCAAAATGCAGGTGTAGGTAGATATACTTTACCTCCTCACACAACCAAAAGAAGAACAACAACAAATTGAAAAACAAAAAATAACCAGAACTCTCATAAAACCAAATTGTATGGAAATCCAACAACCAAGGAGTTAAGGAAGAAACATTCATTCAGACTGGTAGGAGGGATGGAGACCAGCAGCCAGAATGGACAAGAGACTCAGCAAGACAGCGACTGACCAACCAAGTGACTGGTTGGGGAAATAAAGTCCCCAAACCACTGGCTGTAAAAATCTGTGGGTATTGCAGTGGTGGGAAAAACTCCTAGCCTCTCAGGAGAGTCCATTGGACCAATGGGGTCATAGAATGTACACAAACCGACCCACCCAGGAATTGGCATCAGAAGGACCCAATTTGCCTGTGGGTAGCAGGGGAAGTGACTGAAAGCTGGCTGAGAGCTGAGCAAGCAGCATTGTTCCCTCTCGGATCCCTCCCCCACAGACAACACTGCAACACAGCAACATGGGTTGCCCCACCCTGGCAAATACCTAAGGCTCTGCCCCTTATAACACATGCGCCAAGACAAAAAAAATATGGCCCAAATGAAAGAACAGATCAAAGATCCAAAAATAGAACTAATTGATGAAGAAATAGCCAACTTATCAAATGCAGAGTTCAAAGCACTGGTAATCAGGATGCTCACAGAATTGGTTGAGTATGGTCACAAAATAGAGGAAGAAGTGAAGGCTGTGCAAAGTGAAATAAAAAATATATATACAGGGAACTGACAGTAAAGGGAAGGAAACCCGGACTCAAATCTTGGAGCAGAAGGAAGAAATAAACATTCAACCAGAACAGAATGAAGAAGCAAGAATTTTTAAAAATAAGAAAAGGCTTAGGAACCTCCAGGACAACTTTAAATGTCCCAACATCTGAATCATAGGGGTGCCAGAAGGAGAAAAGGAAGAGCAATAAATTGAAAACTTATTTGAAAAAATAATGAAGGGTAACTTCCTCAACCTGACAAAGGAAATAGACTTTCGGGAAGTCCAGGAAGCTCAGAGAGTCCCAAGAAAGCTCAGAAGTTGGACCTAAGGAAGCACACATCAGGGCACATCATAATTACATTAGACAAGATTAAAGATAAGGAGAGAATCTTAAAAGCAGCAAGAGAAAAGGAGAGAGTTACTTGCAAAGGAGTCCGCATAAGGCTATCAGCCGATTTCTCAAAGGAAACCTTGCAGACAAGAAGGAGCTGGAAAGAAGTATTCAAAGTCATGAAAGGCAAGGACCTCCATCCAAGATTACTCTATCCAGCAAAGCTATCAATTTAGAATGAAAGGGCAGATAAAGCACTTTCCAGATAAGGTCAAGGTAAAGGAGTTCATCATCACCAAGCCCTTATTATATGAAATAAGAGACGCTGTCATTCTACAATGACAACAAACTCACAACTATCAACAACCGACCTGAAGAAAAATTAAAAATAAATAAAAAACTAAGCAAAAAGCAGGACAGAATCACAGAAATGGAAATCACATGGAAGGTTATCAATGGGGAGAGGGAGATGGGGAGAATGAGGGAAAAGGTACAGGGGATAAGAAGCATAAATGGAAGGCATGAAATAGATACGGGGAGGTTAAGAATAGCATAGGAAGTGGAGAAGACAAAAAATTTATATGTATGACCATGGATATGAACTAAGGTGGGGAATGCTGAGGGAGAGGGAGTGCAGGGAGGAGGGGAATTAAGGGGAGAAAAATAACAGGACAACTATAATAGCATAATCAATAAAAATATTTTTAATTCATAAAAAACAGAAAAGAAATAATACGATATTCTGTTGCTATCAGGGGAATAAATAGCCTATGGGCCCAATCATGACACAGAGCGTTGCTTCTTTTGGTGGGAGGGGAAACTACATTTTATTTTCTAAGCCATTGATTTGTAAACAATTGGAATCTAGCCTGGTTGTAAGTTAGAAACTGTCTCTATTTCTCTCTGTTTCCATAGTACCTAGCTATTCAATGGTGTGGGGACTGACTATGGAAGTGGGGGACAGGCTGGGCAGAGGGAAGCAAAGGGGGAAAATTGGGACAAGTATAATAGCATAAACAATAAAATATTTTTTAAAATAAATAAATAAATGCTAAACCCCCAGGCCAGTTTCCCTAAGAAAAAAGAAATCCTGAAGGGCTATGTGGTCTCTCTGGGAGACAGAGCCAACACAGGGGAGCAGGGAGAGACAGCGTAAGCCTGGGGTGAATAATCCTCCCTACTGTGTCATGTGTCACCTCTGTGACATGAGAGTTCAGGGAAGTGGTAGGCCATCATGGGTAGGTGCTCCTTTAGGATGGAGCCCAGAAGCGGGTTTCCTAGGTCAAGGGTGTACATACCTTGAATTTTGCTAAGTGCTTCCAAAGAGCCCTCTCAAGCTGTCCTGGTTGACCCTTCCCCATACCCTGCCCACAGTGGATGTGAGGAAGGGTTTTGGATTCTCTGGGGGGATTGTCGTTGTTGTTGCTTTATAGCTTTTAATGGCTAAAAATAATGTCACAGTTTGGTTTTCCCTGGTTATTAGGGAGGCTGAGCTTTTTCATCTTCTGTGACTTTTCTGTTCATTTAGTTTAGTCATTTTCCTTTGGGTTGTGTGCCTCTTAGGGGTCTCTATTTATGTAAAACCCAGTGACATTGGTCCCATTTAGGTAGTGTCAAACATTATTACATTACTGTAAGGTTTCAAAGAACTGTATGCAAATTATATTAAAAAGAAAAAAAACTGTGAATTTTGCTCCAGGACATAAAAGACGACATGATTAGCTAGGTGGGACGATCATGTGCATGGGTAAGAAGACATGTTACTGCAAAGATGCCAACCTTCCCCAGATAAACCCATTTACTTGGTGCCTTCAGGACTTCTCAGGGAACTTGACAAGATCATTCTAAATTTCATCTGAAAGGGTAAATTTGGAAAAATTTCTAAGGAATTTTTGAAAAAGAAGAATGAAGTAGGGGGCTTTCCCTAGCAAATCCCAAAATGCACCATAAAGTTGTAACGAAAACAGCGCAGTGTTGCATGAGACCTACTGAAACAGATGGATAAAAATGAGAGCACGGGACAATGCTAAAAGACACAGAGATAAGTAAGTGGTGTTAGAGCATTCGTCTGTTCATTTAGGAAACAATAAAACAGATCCCTATTTTACATTACCCCTAAAATAAACCTCAAGTGTGAATGCTGTGAAAGTAACTGAATGTATATAGGAAAAGATATTCATGATCTTGGGGTGGGAAAGGGCTTTCTAAGCAAGATTTGAGTCTCAGAGTCATATAAGAAAGTTACTATATAAAATATAAATCAAAAGACAAGCACAGCCTGGGACAAAGTATTTGCAATATATGTAGCAAAAGGTATATGATAAGAGCTCCAGAAACTGAATAAGAAAAAGACAAACAGCCAATAGAAAAACAAAGGGTGTGAACAAATTTTAAAATAAATACAGTTAGCTAATAAATATATGAAAATATGCTTGACCTTATTCATGATCCAAAGTATAAATTTAAGCACTCTAGATTATTAAAAATGTAATTAACTGATAATAAAAAAATAACAAAAAACATTAGCCATGGGATAGAAAATGGCCACTGTTATTCATCATTGATTGAACTGTAAAATTGCTACAAACTTTCTGGAAGACAATTTAGCTATATCTAGAAGAATTCCAAATTCACACATCTTATGACCACTTCCAGGAATCTCTCCAAATAGCAGCACAAGTTCATAAACATAGGTGCATAAGAATGCCTGTCATAGTATTGTTTTAGTAGGAAAACAAAAGCTGAAAAAAATATTACAATTCATTTATTCAGTAGACTGCCCTGTAGCTGGTAAAAAGAACAACAGTAATGACAGTGATGCTAAAGATGGTTTAACACTGTTAGGGTCTCCCCATGTGCTTGTGACTGTGCTGTGCCTCACATGTATGATATCACTTAATGCACATGGTAGATCCATTATACCAACATGCAGTGAAGTGGAAAATGCATTGTGACTTGAAGTACAAGTTTCTGTTGATTTAATTGTGTATAACAAGCATGCTGTCGTGTTTTGTTTGTATCTTTTTTTTAAAAGACAACACATTAAAGAAAGAGGAAGGGCAAGTTGTAGAATAGCATGCAGTGAATGTGGCAAAGACTGACTGTGATTACCAACCCTGTCTTTTCCTCCTGTAGCAGGAGTTACCTGTAGCAGGAGGAAAAAGGCAGTTTCCTCCTGTAACAAAGTTAAACTACATTTCCCAGTCCACCTGCAGGGGGTGGGGGCACAGGGAAGGCATATGGCTCATTCTTGCCAATAGACTGTGAGTAGAACTGATGCCTCACATCCAGGCTAAGGCCATTATGAGCAACTGTGCCTCAAGTCATACATTTTCTCTCTCTTCTTGAAATTGAAGACCGTATATAGAAAACAGCAGCATCACAAGATGGAAGGAGCCCACCCCCTCGAACGAATGGCACAAACCCTGCATACTGTTATGGTAATTTTCTCAGATGTAGGGTTTGCTACAGAAGCTGCTATTACTTACTCTAAGACAGTATAAAATCATTTTTAATTAAAAATATAGGATTGTAATGACACAGAGAAACTGCCATATTTTACTTTATACTCTCTATTACTGGAATCTTCTTCAACAATTAAAATACACTTCTACAACATAAAAGAAAGGTATGACCTAATCTATGATATTAATATATCCAAAGAAGAACTGACCTGCTCTTGATTTTGGAGGAAGCCAGCTCTGGGAAGCAGCTTGTCCAAAAATAAGTGCAGATACAGAACACCTTCTAGGGAAGGGAAGAGATTCTTGTCTCCTCCCTTGGGGCCCCAAGAAGAGCTGCTTGACTTTTGACATCAGGGGAGAGCTTGGAACTCAGAGAACCTGGCTGGGGTCCTGCCTGTGTGTGGCCTGAGGTACATTTTGTGAGCTTTCTGGGCCTTAGTTTTCTCTATTTGTAACCTAGAGATTTAAGTCACCTACCTTATAGAGTTGATGTGAGAGACAAATGATTAAATGCTACCAAATTGTAAATTCATCTACTGTGCTGTAGAGATGGTAATAATATATGTCATTTAATAAATATTTATTGAGCATTATTCTGGTGGCCAGACACAGGGCCAGGTGCTAGGAATAGTGTTGACTGTCATAGAATTTAAGGAGTAACGATCGAAAGGCATGAAGTGATTGTAAATATTTAATTGAGCTGCTTCAAAGTAAGAAATGGAAAGGTACTGGGTGCTACTGAAGAATCTAAATGTATGACCCAATAAACTTTAGAGGTCATGTTTGGGAGAAGAGCAGCAGACATTTTTATTCATTATTGTATTTCCAGTGCTGAGCATGGTGTATTATGCCTACAGCAGACACCAAGTAAATCCCAGTATCACTTTCCTCATTCGTCTTCCATGAAGGAGTGGGAGTCTATGCCTACTACTGCCCCAGATCCTAGTACAATACTGCTCACAGGTTAGTGTTCATTAAGTGAAAATGTGCTTTCTAAAGTAAGACCACCTGAAATCCCCCTTTTCATAGCCTGACCCAGTCAGAGCTATATCGTTGCCATTTATAGTAAATCTTCTAGGACGGCTGCCTGCACTCGCTCAGGAGAATGCGTAGTGCCACTGGCAGCTTGCTTTGGCATTGCATGGCTCCTGCTTACCTGAGATGTAGACCTCATTTTTTAATGTCACGCATGCAAACTCCACCCACTTCTTATTCTCACTCTCCAGCTCTTGCTCCGTCATCGGGAGCTTGGCCACCTCCAGGCGGCTGCGCCTCAGGGGGTCCAGGCAGGTTACCTCTGCCACAAACCGCTCATCCTTCGTGCACCCGCCGATGATCATGAACACCTCCGACTGGAACTCATGCATCCTGGGCTTGGTGCGCTCGGAAATGATCTGGAAAACCAATGGGAGTGCAGAAAAGCAGGGTGACACAATGGTTCGAAGCTTGGGCTATGCAGTCAGCAGAGCAGGGCCCAATTCCCAACTCAGCCATTGTATGGCCAGCTGCCCACCTCCTTGAGCCTCTGTTTCATCATCTGCATGTTAAAGATTTTAGTGGTAACTACCTCGCAGGTTTGTCGTGAGGACTAAATGAGATCATATACTTAGTGTGTTTGGCCCAGAGCCTGGTACATAATCAATACTTGATAAAGGTTATTTGTTGTTGCTTTGCTGCCATTTCAAGAAGTCCAGGTTTGTTTACCATCAAATGCACTTCCTGCTTCTCCCTTCCTGCCTGGATGAAGCATTGAAGCCTGGAATCTCACTTCTGGCCGCCTTCCATTCCCCACCTCACTTCAATGTCCTGATGATATCCCAGACTTTGCTCACTACCAGACTTCTTCTGGAAGAGAGTCCTGACAATGGGCACAATGAAGCATCCAGTGACTTAGGAGTAAAAAAACAAAAGGGAGCAGCATATGGCCCGATAGGTTGGGGAACTGGGTCTCAGCATCAAGTATATGATCCTTTAGAGCCTTGAACAAGCAAAGAAATCCACACCACAGGTATTTGAATCCAGCTGAAAGAGCAGAGGTATGGAGTCAAATACACCAGAGTTTTGCCGTGGTTCCACCACCTATGGCCTTGTGGAGAAACGACACAACCTCTGTAAACACCTGCAATCATTTCTAGGCCATCAAGTCTTGGTCTAGATCAAGGTGGTCCATGGAAATTTAGGAGAAAATGAAACGAAGAAGCAACTTTCTCAACCCCAAAAGACCTCTCCCAATGAAGGTACCAGCTACCTACCACTCCTAAGTTAAATGTACACTGACATTTGCTTTTAGGGGTCTAAAATGTCCCATTGTCATCACATTCATGAACTGAGAGGAGGGACAAGGTTAGGAGGGAGACATAGTGATAGGACAAAAAGGGTTAAAGTTTGGAAAAGAAAGGTTAATGAGTTCCATGAGTAGCTTCCTTGTGTACACCACTGTCATCAGGAATAAACCCAAGATCATTCAATTAGTGAGCAGACAGGAAGTTTTACAGGATCAACTAGAAGTGAGACCTCAAGCCGGGGATCACAGTGGTTGGTTGGTTCAGTTGCCCAGGCTGCAAAATGGGAATGAGAACATGCCTCGAACTGGATTTGGGGCAATAGGGCAGCCAAAACCTAGGACACAGTGAAAGAGAGATTTTAGCCTGACACAAAGAAAATGCTTGATTGTGAGAGACAGAGCACCACAAAGGAACTGAGTGAGCATAAGAATAGTCTTCATTTGTGGGGCATTTACCATGTGCCAGACCCTGCGCTAAGCACATCTCATTCATTATCATATTTAATTCTCAAAGCAGTTCTAGCAATTGGTAGGGATCATTATCTTCATGCTGCAGGTCAGGACTGAGCTTTGGAGCAGCTAACAGTTCAATTTATTGTAAGAAAATTGCGCCTTCAAGATTAAAGCCAAGGCCCTAGTTCCTGCCCCTGAGGACTTTTTAAATATCGGAATTCTCTTTCCTCCTAAAGTAAAGTTTATAATCCCACTTCTCACTCCCTACCCCACTGCAAATACAAAAGGCAGTGCAGATATCTTATAGCAGCAATTTTGCAGAAGATATAATAGAGATATTGCATATCAAAGGAATGACTTCATCACCTGCACTTCAGAGACTTAAGAAATGGGCAGCAGAAAAAAACAAGAGCCAGAATGTTGTAAGTACAGTTGATCAACACTCTGAACTTTAAACGTTCAACTGAAAACAGTTGCAGAAATTGACCGCTGTCTTCAAGTGTATGAGGGTTTTGATTCCCAGCATTGGGCTACCTGCCAGTGACCCACATACCTAACATGAGATATGACCTGGATTTGCCTGGCCTCCATCCCTCACTCTACCCAACACCCTTCATTTGCTCAGTCTCCTGTCTGTGTTTAGCAAGGCAGAGACTGTTCTGTGGTGCCTGGTGTTATATCTGGCATATAGTTTCAGGGCAGGGTGTATTTGTAAAAAATGAAAGTATAGCATATTAAAATATATGAGATGCTGCTAAAGTAGTACTTTGGGGGAATTTATAGCACTAATGACAATATTAGGGGGGAAGTGTCAGATCACTGACCTCCACTTCTACCTTAAGAGACTAACAAAAAGAAGAAAAATTAAACCCGAAGAAAGCATAAGAAATGAAATAATCAAGATCAGAGTAGAAATAAGTGAAATAAAAAACAAAACCAATAGAGAAAATCAAATTAAACCAAAAGGTTGTTCTTTGAGAAAATCAATAAAATCGATAAACCTCTGACCAGGGGGGAAAAGACTGATCAGGGGAAAGAGAGGAAACACAAATCACCAATATCTGCAGTGAGAGATGTGAGTGACGTCACTGCAGAGGCCACAGGCGTCCAGAGGATAGTAAGGGAATACTGGGGACAACATTAAACCAATAGACTCAGTAACTTCTATAACGTGGAAAAATTCTTTGAGATGTACAAACTACTAAAGCTCATTAGAAGAAATGGATTACCTGAATAGCCCTATTTTCATAAATAAATATAATCTGTGGTCAAAAACCTCTCTCTCTCTCTCTCTCTCTCTCACACACACACACACACACACACACACACACACACACAAACTCCTGGTTCTAACAGTATCACTGGTTAGCTCTACCAAACGTTTAAGGATATGTTTGCAGAGTAAATGAGTGACAGTGAATCTGGAGACAACACAGAACCAGAAAAGACACACAGGGACAGGAAGAGGCTCCCAAGGGGCTTCAGACAGATAATTCCTAAGGCGCTTTTGGCTAAGATATCTACCAATGGCCTAATTAAGAAGGCTTTGTAGCCAATCCCAGAACTATTGTAAGTGATATATATGTGTGGTTCCTGTGTATAAACTTAACTGTCTGTATATCATTACTTCCTGATTGTTTTATTCCTCTCCACTAAGCCTAGTTTTGTCTTTATACAGCAATGAATAAAATATTTCTTCAATTGTTAAAGAGACCCAGGTAGATTCAAATGATATGTATAGTCACCATTTTGGTCCCCATTTATCTCCCAACAAATGTTTATCAATCACTTATGAAATAACAGGGAACCTCCTAATGTCTGGAGATGAAAATTCCAGTAGAACATGCTCCCTGCCATAACAAGCTCCCAACCTAGAGATGTTTACAGATGAGGAACCCAACAGTGAACATGCAGCAGGTGGTGTTATAACATATCAATGCACCAGCTGCTATGAGAATGAGAGGACTCTGGAGAAAATGGTGCTTGAACTGAGTTTTGAAGCAGGAGCAGAAGTTACCTAGATGAAGAAGAGGAAAGAGGCATCTGAATAGCACCTGCATTAGCCTGGAGGCTGAAAAAGCAGGTCCGCTTTGGGGAATTCCAAGCAGTGTGTTTGGGCTATAGCAGAGGAAAGGGGTTGGTGATGGCACTCAGAGAAGTAGGCAGGAGGTGAAGTAGCAGGGCCAGCTCTGGGAGCCGGGGCAGGAGGTATGGGCTCTATCCCGAAAGTGGTGGGGAGCCAGTGGAGAGAGAGATGATTAGGCTTGAGTTTGAGATCATCCAGCTGGTGAATGAACTGAAGAAAGGATAGCCTGGGGACAGGAAGGTGAGTTTGGGGGAATTTTCAGAAATACAGGAAGGAAATAATGAGAGTCTAAGGGACCATCAGGTTCCCCAGAGTGGGCAAGAGCTAAGCAGCACCCTGTGGAAGGCGGCTGGACAGGGCACATTTTGTCCGTGTGTGCATCACCCACACCAACCTCCTGCCCTTGCACAGATGGGAGGAGGAGAGATGCACCAGGCACGATGCTGGGAGACTTCTGTATCTCACCTGATCTTCTCAGTAGCTGTCCACGATGCAATGTCATCTGCATTTTACGAACCAGAAATCCAGGGCTCCTGGAACTGCCTGACTCAAACTATAAACTGTGTAGCATCTTTTTTTATGCCTTAAGGATTTGCCAGCCAGACTCACCTATACCTTTGAGGCCCACTAGCTCCTTTTAGTTTGCTATTTATCAGTGGCACCTCTCATCTCACCTCATTGCCAGAAAGGTGGTACATCCTGGCTTCCTGGAGCAGCGGGAAGACCTCCGGGCACTGCCTGATGATAGGATCTGCTTCCACCGTCTCCACAAAGTACCAGGGGTCCAGAAGAGGCAAGCGCACATTCTCCAGGATGTAGGGGAGCAAGCAGAGGCGTTCCGACTGTTTGTGCCGCACCCAGCTCATCACAGTCTCAAACACCTGAGCCTCCTCCGTCACATAAAGGTCATCACTCTTCAAGATGTGGTACAGAGTGTCCACGGGAAGTTCAAGGAACTCCTCGGCGTTCAGAATCTGCACAAAGTTTTGGATGATGTAACTTTGAACCTGCTTCTTTAGACTGTCCAAGGAGTGCGTGTCTGCCAGCCTCAGTATTCCAACACAGTTCTCTGGATTCAAGGCTTCCGTGAGGAAGCTGGCGCAGGCATCCACCATCCGCAGGAACTAAGAGAATAGAAAGGCAGCAAATAAGACCAGAAAATGATTAGTCCACAAAGATGTTTTTCAGTGAATTGTACATGGTACCAAAAAATTAGAAACAACCCAACTGACCTACAATAAGGGACTAGCTAAATACATGACCATGCATTCGTATTATTGACAGCTCTGTAGCCATTAAGAAAATATGTTGTAGAAGAATATTAAATGGTATAGAAAATTTTTACAATGCTTTAAGTTTGAAAATCTGTTCATGGAATCTGATCAGGCCTCTAGATTTGAGCAGCAGCTACAGGAAGTACAGTTGACCCTTGAACAACAGGGGGGTTGGGCTGCTGACCTCCAGTGTAGATGGAAATCCATGTGTAACTACATACAGGGGAAGAGGAACATGTCAAATGACACCATGGGAAGATCAGCAAAATCCAGACTGTGGGAAACTACACAGAGCAACCAGTGCGGTTTCTTCCTGAAACACATCACAAGGGTGGGGACGGTGGGGGAGGGGGTCGAAGGGCGAAAAGAGATTTAAGAGACATATCAGAGCAAAACAGGAAACTATTTGGATCCCTGATTTAAACAAAATAATTTTAAAGGTCAGAAATTTGCTCAATGGCTAATATTTGGTGATATGAAGCAATCACGATAATTTTAAGTGTGATGATGGTACGGCTATTTTTAAAGAAGAATCTTACCTTTTAGAGATATGTTCTGAAATATTTGCAGATGAAATGAAAAAGTTTGTCACAAAGTCGCTAGTACATTGTGATTCTATTTCTATAAAGAAAACATATGCAGAATACAGGCCTAGAAAAAAGACTGAAGGATAATATGGACCGTTGTCAACTTCTCTGGGTATAGACACTGTAGAACTAATTATGCTGCAGTGACAAACAACCCCCAAATCTATTGCAGTGAAAATGAAGTTGTAAAACTGATTGGCTTTCATGTCTTATTTCTCAATTATCATCATCCTTATAATATGAGCTTATTATGCATCTGTAGCCTTCTACAGCTTACAGAGCACAGTCTTATCATTATGTTATTTAATATTCATTTTACAGATGAGGTGTCTCAGATGCATCAGTTCAGCCCTGGTCAGTGTGTTTCAGTGGGTTGGAGTGTCATCCCATAAACTGAAAGTTCACAGGTTCGATTCCTGGTCAAGGCACCTACCCAGGTTACAGGTCTCATATCTGGTTGGGGCAACCATGAGAAGGCAATTAACTGATGTTTCTCTTTCACATTGATGTTTCTCTCTCTCTCTCTGTCCCCACCCTTCCTGTCTCTCTAAAAACAATGAAAAAATATGCTTGTATATGGATTTAAAAATAATTAAAAATCAAATGCATCGGTTCATTCCTATTCATTGCTCTCTGGAGCTTAGTTTGAGCAAGTCCAATCTCCCATCTCCCCTCCTGTCCACTGGACCCCTTACAGGATCAAGTTCTCAATATTCTTGAGTTGATCAATTAGTAGAAGATTGGAAAAAGGGAGCATGGCAGGGAGGGCTATTCTGAAGGCAGGGCCTGCTGAGAACATCCACGGGCAGGCCTGCCAAGAAGACAGCTCTACCGACGGGCGGGGGGGGGGTGTCAGATTGTGGGGCCTGAAGCGTGGGGGTGGGCATAGGACTAATCGTAGCATGGACCATATTGACTTAAGCTTTGCCCTTCACTCCAGAGCAATAGGGGCACACATCCCTGTCTTTTTTAGTCATTTTAATTAAAAAATATTATCTCTCCATATCACACCACACTTTCCGATTGTCACTTTTGAAAACATTGGCAGAGAGTTGATGCACCGTTGGAGAAAGCCTGAATTCTGCCTCAGACCACCCCGTCTGCTGGCCCCAACCACCTGCAGATTGGCTCCTCGCATGAGCAACCGTGGAAACCGTTGAGACTGAGAATTCTGACACCTGTTCAGTTGTTCACAGATTTTCAGTTCAAAGAGTAAAAATACACAACCGAGACCAAGCCTTGCTAAGCCCTCAGAACCTGTAACCAGAGCCCTTTGTGGCCCTGCCCACAGAGACATCCCTGAGGGCTGAGAAGGAACTCACTTACGACGTGGTAGCCTCCAGAGCAAAACAGCAGGTAGACCACACCAGCGTTTGCGTGAGAAGATGCTATGAAAATCAAATTCAACTTCTAAATACGTAGACACTCTCTGGGAGGCCACCTAAGAACCTGGTGACGGTGACTGCCTCTAGGGAGGCGGCCTGGTGGCTGGGTTTAGGGTAAGGAGGAAGAATTACTTTTTACTGTTTGCCTTATTGCACCCCCTTGAATTGTGTGCCGTGAGGAATTTTCTATTTAAAACACAGTGAGTTTCTCGTGAATAGAGGAAACACTAGAAGGAAACACATCAAAATGCCAGCAGTACTTATCTCATAGCCCATTTTATACGGTTATTAATTTGGGGAGGGTTTTTTTGGACGTTTCTGTATAAACCAAGTTTTCTACACTAAGCATAAAGTTACTTTTAAAGTCAGAAAAATGAAATAAATACCGTCTTACAATTTCAAGTATGCAATGAGAAAATAAAATGTCAAAAAATATTATAAAGAAAAGCTAAAATGCTCCAGCCCCTTTATATTAACTAACTCGCTTAATCCTTACAGCAGCACTATAAAGAAGATATGTATTACCATTCCTGTTTTATAATGAGAAAAACAGATTCAGAGAAGTAAAGTCATTTCCTGAGGGATGTATAAATAATAAGTAGCTCTGAAATTTGGAACACTCTTATTTGATTTCAGAAATGCATGTTTTTACATTATTTTAAGCGGCCTCCAGTGAACTAGTGTGTGTGCAGGACAGTGGCTTTGCAGATGCCAGATACGATTTGTTTGCACATTTCTCTGGAGAGCTCAGTGGACCTGATCTGCCCAGATGTGGGGAGGCCTAGCCAACAAGATGCCAATTCCTTCCCCTGCTTGATGACTGTTGGTGAGCAAAGAAGACACCATGAAAGAGAATCAGATTAAATACCGAAGCTCCCATTTGTTCGAAACATCAATCCCAATGTGTCTCTCCCCACTCAGAGCCAGGCATTCTTCATCCTCTTGTTCATTTCCCAGATGTGTGCTGAGCTTGTGTTATGTGCTAGGCTCTCAGCTAGTGCTGGGTGTGCAGAGAGTGAGCAGAAAGAGACAGTGCTGGTGTCTCACTGGTGGGGGAGGCAGTAACCAAAGAAGCACACAAGTGTAAAATTACAATTGCGACAAATGCCCGGTAACACTGTTCAGTGATTCCACTGCTTGAAATTGAAGACGGTCCTTCTCCTACCCTTCCAGCCATGCACAGCCTGGGTCTAAGCTGTCACCAGGACTCTCCCTGCTGGAACCTGTTAGCACTCAGACCTGTCTACTCAGCTCTCCACACATCCCTGCCTGTCCCAGTGGCTTTCTATAATTATTCCACTCCCTCGGCCTGGACCAGCTTCTCCCTCATGACTAGCTGCCAAAGTCCTGTTCTCCTCAAACAGCAAGTTTGATTCCAGAGCCCCACAAAAAAGGGGGGACTAAGGATAGTTCCCCCTGAAAAGGAGAGTGCTTTTAAGTTTCCCCCAAGAAGGAGGAAAAAATGAGTACCATGACTACCGCCTTATCTACAGAGGACTGTTTTCTTCACTCAGAGCATTGAGTCCAGGACCAGCGAATGTGCTCCAGAGAGCCTGCGAACCCCTATCTGGTATGCAAACATTTGTGTGCCCATGTGCCATTTTCTGGGAACTGAGTTTGAAGGAGACACTGACTTGCTTTCTAGTATCCATCCACTGGAGGACAAAGTCGGGGTGAAAGAGGACCAGAGTCTTAAACAGACTAGGCTTTAAGCCCTCCCTGACTCTGGACATTTTTAATTCTGGGTCAATACTTGTTTAAGAAGAAAGAAAGAGAATGGAAGGAAAGAGAAAGAAAAGAAATAGAGGAATTCCCCCTATTCATGAAGTTCCTTCTCAAAAAACACTCTTCCTTAATCATTTCTCCAATGGCCCAAGATGGAGTCAGTTTCTCCCCCTTCTGTGTTCCACTGGGCAGCTCACCCTGCTTGTGGAGCACCAGTTACATTCCTGCCTGTACTATGGTCAAGGGCAAGTTCTAGGGCATACTTGTGTTTTTACTTTTAGAAGTACATAGCACAAATTCTGGCAAAAGAAGGAGAGAGAGAAAGAAGATATTTTTCAGATACCCAGTATGAAAATCTGTGCTAGAAACTTTTCCATCCATTATTTATTTAATGAATACATTTATTTTTTAGTGAATATATTTTAACAAGTAATAATGAGATACATATTAGTGTTGTCATTTATTTGTACAGAGATAAAAATAGAGAATTTGAAGAGTCAAGTGTGTTGCCCAAGGTCACATGGCCAGTAGGTGTTGAGATGATGCTGAGCTCACAGCTGACTCTTCCCACGGGGCATACACTGCCTTTGTCTGTAGCTGTTGCACCATTGCGCTAACACAGTTCCAGGAGAGCCTGAGAGGTTTTACGAGGACAAGGGAGGGTGGAGATCTCCAAGTTGCCTACATATGTTCCCTCCACCCCAAAATACGCCTCCATAAACACTTTTGACTGTGAGGGGTATAAGGCAGCATCATGTGATCCCAACCAATGGCTGGAAACTGCTGAGGAGTAGGGCAGTCCAGGAGACAAGAAGCCAGTTTACTTTAAGTATTTTTGTGCTTCTTCATAATTAAGCTTATTTAAGACTTTAGAGTAAATTTTCTGTCTCAGCCTGTCCCATTGGCACATGAACTTGTTTATTAAAGCTGAGCAATGACAGCTAATGGCAACAGACAACCAACTTCCTGTTTGGGGAACATGTGAGCAAAATGTTACAGCCAGGCACCTGACTCTTGAACGGGGAGACTAAAAATACAATCAGAGAAAACCACTTGAGACCTGGCTGCAGTTCCCATGAGAAGCGTCTGTGTTGAAGAGAATGCACCCCTGCCCCCCACCCCCACTGCCCCTCCTCTGCTTCCCTTCATGCTC